TCATACTCATTAAAATATCTCAAATTAAAAAGAATTCTGAATTACCATTTTAACATATTAGACTACACCTATTCTGAGATATAGATTTGGGAGTCAGTGATTAATTATGAATGACTTTAAGTTCACAATGGAAATGCCAGGCAGTGATCTTTGTGAGAGAGAAGAAAAGAGAACTTAAATCAGAATCTGTGAAAGGTAACATTTAAGGGATGTGTGGCAAAAGACGAACGCAGGAAAATTTTTAATAAAATCAGAATTTTCTAAATGTTCGCTAGATGGTGAAGGAACTGTAATTCTATACATGACTGATCAGAGCATAAAATGATATAGTCATATAAAAAACTTATAACACCTATTGATCCTGTGATTTTACTCTGTTATATATGTTTTTACTCTATAGATTTGAAAGTTCATGTTTATAAAAAGAAGTGTGCTGGTGATGTTCAGAGCAGCTTTATCCTTCATGGACAATAGTTGGAAACAACTCAGATATTCCAGAATAGGAGCATGGATTATTCATATAATAATACAGCATTTAAGGAATAACGTAAGTGACTCACCAAAGCATTATGTTGAATAAAAGAAGCCAAGCACAAAGAAGTACATAGTATATAAACTAGTTGACATAAATAACAAAATAGGCAAAATTAATATATATTGAAAGAAATAAGAAATTGCTAACAGCAAAAGATAGACTAGATTGACTAGAGAAAGATCAGGGAAGAGCTTTGTGGGGTGTTGGAAATGTTCTGTCTCTTAATGGGGCAGTGAGTATCAAGACTCATGAAAATATACTCAAAATTTATGCATTGAAAGTTTTATTAGACTATGTTGAAAGACTGGATATTGATGTGTTAAAAAGGTAAACTGAAGCACAATAAAATCAGAGTTATTTTAGTGAAAAATGATTCATGAGGGGGGCAGCTCCAAGCAACAAGGGATTCTGAAAGTTCACTGAGGGAACACAATGGGGAGGTTCTTTTCAGATGGCACACAGTGAAAGCAAAGAAACACTGGTTCTAGTTATACAGCTGCCTTACTTGGTTTATTCTGTTTTAGAGTCCCTAGTTAGATAAATTTATTGGCTGCTTCTGTTTGTAGATCTAAAGTTCCTCTTTTCTTTAATACAGGGTGTTTACCAGAGATAGGCCAAATAAGTTTTGTTTATGCTTATAAAGCAGGCAAGGTTTAGGTCACTTATGAGGCCCAACTGGCTTTGCCTTCTCAGGAAATCTTCGCAGTTTGTCTCCATTCTAACTCACTTAACAGATGTAATGTTGGGGGTGAGGTCATGCATGGATTCCATATCTCAGTCTAGAATTAATGCTGTTATATTTCATAGGAAGCACTTAGTTGGGGAAGGATTAGTAGGGAAAGTTTTGATGCTATATTGTGGATTGCCAACACTGGTTTTAGAGAAATTATTCTACACAGAACTTCTAGATAAACTTGTTCAAAATATAACTGCTTCTGCTTAGTCTTTCACTGGTCTGGAAGGGAAGATTGGGTGCCAGGGTTAAAAGAAACTGAACCATACTGCTTTGTATATATTCTAATGCTATTTCCATAACCTTCAGATTCTTGTCTGCCTAACTTTGTTTACCCAAATGATAAAATTCATAAAACATTTTGAAAAAAAGAGATATATCATTGACAGTGATTATAGCATTCAGGTACTGAAGCAGATGAATACCTAAATAAAATGCAACACCTTTATATAACAGATTGGGTACTAGACAAAGGTTAAGTAATTTATTTCCAAGCCTCAAATCATTTAACTGAAGCAGTTAAAATTATCCAGGATAATAATTCCTTATTAACATAGTCTAGAGTAAAGAAATAAATCAATGTGCTTATTTTGATAATAACATTTTGAACAAAATATTTTTCTTAATTAACTTTTTATTATTTTTATGCAGTGCTTTTCTACTTTTGTACTTCTATATTTAGTATTGCCTTTGTATAATCACCATATGTATAAAACAAATATTCTCTAGAGAAATAAAGCTATTCCATACATAGATATTGTAAGGGATTGGCTCATATTATTAGATAAGCTAAGACCCACATTTGTCCTCTGCAAGTGGGAGGCACAGAAAAACTGGTTGGGTAGTTCTAGTCCAAACCCCAAATAAGTTCTGGTCCCAGTGTGTAAGCTTGAGAATGAAGTGCTCCAAAGACTAAAGGTAGGGGTGGATGGATATGCTAGCTCAAGTAGAGACCAAATATGCCCTTTCTCCACTTTTTGTTGTTTTTGTTCTATTTAGGCCCTCAAATGGGTAATGCCTGTTTACACTGGTGAGGTGAACTTCACTCACTCCACTGATTCAAATGATAGTATCTTCCAAAAAGATCCTCATGGAAACACCCAGAAATAATCTTGTATGACCATCTGGTTATTCCTTAATCCAGTCAAGTTGACACATGAAATTAACCGTCACACCCTATTTCTCAAAGTGCTCATTATTATGTCACTTAATATTGCTGAGTTCTTGAGTTAGTTATTGCTTGATACTTGATTTTGCTATTTTCCCTGAGTTCTCCAATGTGCCGTCTTGATTGGAAAAGCTATGATGATGTACTCATTGTTCCTCGATAGTCTGTGATCACATACTATGTTACAAGATGTATTCTAAGCACTTTATCTGAATAACTTCATGTAAGTTTTAAATGATTCTTTGAACTGTTGGAATTTTGGGACATAACATTCATAACTGATGAATACCTGAGTCCTATCAGATATTTTGGTGTTTATCATGTTTAATAATGAATTCAGAATTAAAATCATTCAGCACATCAACTAGGGAAAAAGCTGCAGAATAAAATGAAGGTAATTACTGGGCTACTCTTTCATAGGGGCAAATAGTAGATTCAAGGGTAATAACACCACTAAAGTCTGGAATGGTAAGATTCTAGGAATTGTGATCAACTACAAAACCTAGAATATTCACCAAATTTGTCAAAATCATCTAATACATATTCATTCACTCACTCATTCTTTTTTTTCCTTTCATGGACACATATCTACAGCAACACCCATCTACAAATAAATATGTAAAGTATATTGAATGCCAATTTTCCTGTCAGAATCTCAGCTGAAGGTCCAGAGCTAACAAAACATGTTAAAAGTGCTTTCATATTCACACATGAAAAAAAAATTGACATTTTCTGAGTACTTTGTATGAGCCCAGTATCTTATATGTGTTATTTCAAGTAGTTCTTTCAGAAATTCTAAAAGTTAAATATTGTTACCTGAAATTTATACATAAGAAAATGGAGATTCTGGATTAACTGACTTCTTCAAAGTCAAATCTGATGAAATTCAAAATCTATAGAATGCTGCTTCCTCAAATAAGCATATATCTTCCTAGGGATTTATCCTTTTGAATAAGGATAGCTATCCATGTATCTGTGTACTGAGAGCAACTACTTCACAATTTCAGTCTAATTTGATTTTCATAGGGAATGCATCATGAGGAAGCTTATAGACTGCACCTAGAAAAATAATGAGATGATGACATGTGAAAGTTGGTACATTTATATCTTAGTTCGTCGGTCTCAATTACTACACTAACCATAAACCCATAAACCCATTGGCAGCATATCTTTATTTTCAGGGCTGACACAGTTTTGTAGAGGCATCCTTTATTAATATATTTATCCTCTCTCTTTTTTTTTGCAGTACTGGGTTTGAACTCAGGGCCTCATACTTGCCACACAGGTGCTCTACCCCTTGAGCCAATCTGCCAGCTCATAATTATCTTCTTGACTTAATGATTTTAGTTTTGTGTCCAGTGTTGTTATATTCCAGACTGTGCAATGACAGAATCTTTGAAAGAAAATATAAATGTGTAACGGCAGGATTTATTGCATGATTATATTAGTTTTCTATTACATATTTAAAGAGTATATTATCATTTATAAGTAAAGACAAATTCAGGAAAGAGTGATGATATTTTATATATTTTTAAAAACATATATTAATATTGATGAAGCATAACCTGAAAGATATCCTAGGAACCACCACATCTTTTTCTCTGAAAAATAAAATGGAAGAGCATTTTAGTTCCATTAGATGGTTTTGTGTAAAATTTTCTAGATATTTTATAAATTGCTTACTGAAAGCTTTATTTTGACTGGTATTGATTTCCCATTGAGCAAAGGTTCCACTGTACTGAAATCCCTGCAATATTTCTGATTTAAAAAGCTTGAGTTGACTTTTGTTGTACAAAATAACACATTAGTGAGGATACTTTTCCAAAGAGGTGTTGGTACTATTCAATCTTGGTTTTTTTTTTTTTTTTTTGTCTTCACTATGCAGCACAGGATGGCCTGGAAGTCATGATCCTCCTGCATCAGTTCTCCAAATGTTGAGATTATAGACATGAACTACTAAATCCAGATCTCCTGGCTGTATTTTTGTACACTGCTGCTGTTGTCTTCTGAAAAATGCTGAGTATTTTTTTTTTCATAGACAGGATCAGAAGAAACTCATATACATCAGAATGGAGATTTGAAACCTTTATTTTTAGTTTGTCCTTCAGGTCAAATTGTTTGCTTTTGTGTGTGCATTTTTACTTTTTAGTGTCATTCTTGACCTGCCTTTCTACCAAACTCCCACTGTAGCCTCAACAGGCAAACAAGCTCATTGTGGAATTTATTAGTTTGAGATTTTAATTTTTTTCAATATTAGCATTCTTACAATGTTTAGCTTACAAAGTGAAATGATGATTTGGGAGAACTGATCTGCAGAGAGAGTAGAATGCATTTTAGATGGACCTAGGTATTCTGTATTTGTGTTGTCTGGGCTGGCACCACACCAGGCTTGTGATTCTGAAATTTTTATTTTCATTTTTAAGAACTTGTTTCTTCATAATCATTTTGGTAAGAATTCTTCATTAGCTCTTCTGAAAAGTTTGTTCTTTTAAGAATTGCCATGGCACTTAATGTATGACTTTGGTAAATACCTACCAAAATTTCTGAATGATTAGAACAACATCTTATGGTTCTTTTAGGCTATCAGTCTTGGCCTAGTGAGAAAAGGACATTCATAAGAAGTTCATCTTAAATTAAAATTAATATCCATTCTAATGAATTGATTACCAAAAATAATTTGGGGTCACTTTATCGAGGATTATAATCTACTATATTGTTCATTGCACTCTTACGTTTATGACTGAGTTCTATAAATTACGTGCTAACTTTATATTTTCCAATAGACAATAATAAATTACATAAAATGAATCTTTGATTACCTTCTCTTCTGGAAGCACTAGGGCAATAGTGGGATTTACAGCAGAAGTGAAAAAATTTGTCGTGCTAGGTTTTGGTGAAGTTGAAGGCATAAAAACTCCTGCACCGCCATGCCTAAAGTTTATCACTTCTTTTTGTGAATGTAGTATCATTCCTTCTTCTGGCTACAGAGAATGAGAATGAAAACGAAGTGGTTATAGGTTCAAGTAGGAGGTCAAAATTGATAAGAATATAAAATAACAGGATTAAGATTCAAACCAAACGTTATGTTCAAGAAACATATTAGCTTTGTAGATCATAAGCTATTTTTAGAATGGTTATGAATATATTTCACAAATTTAGTTGTCTTTTAATACCTGCTTTTAAACAAGGATACATAGAAGAGTTACTGGTAAGAATTCCTCAAAAAATATTTGAGGAAGTGAATGGCTTTAATCTTGGCTAGTGAAAGATTACAGGAGGAAGAAACAGTAATTATTGATGAAATTATTAAAAATTTACATTAAAATAAACATTAGCAAAGGAACCTATATGTTATCAGTTTTTGATCTTCAGTTGCTAGCCAAGTGTTATAAGGAATCTTACCACACCAGTCTCAGGAGCTGTGCCTACGGGGGTGTCAAAAGCTAATTGCTGCTGTCCTCCTGTTATACCCTGAAAAAATAGAAAATTTTAAAAAGTCTGAATTAGACTTTCCAAGACCAGTAAACATGTTTTTTTTGTCACCCAAATAAACTAAACATGCCTTGGTTTCTTAAATTATTTTCTTACAAGCAGAAATAACAGTTTATACTTGAGAAAGGGAAAAGCAATTCCTTATATGAGAGAGCTGGCTAGACAGTTCTGCTTCATTTCTGGAATCTTTGCTTCCTAATATTTCCTGCTAATATTTCCTTCAGCATAAACAAACCTTCAGAACACTAACATTGGGGAAAGTTGTCCTTGCATATGATGAAGTTAGAAAAACAACATAACTTCATAATCCTGTCTAAAACAAAGTCACTGCGTACATCACAAAATTACCAAGTGTCCTCACATCCTTGCTAATAGTGGTGACTCTTCCTTCTTTACCAATTATAGCCTTTGTCTGGCTTCATTATCTTGTGTATCTGTAAGAATCCTTAAGATACTAGATCAAAAAACTATCCCTGCTTATGAGAAATCACACTGCAAAGTGAACCATCACTGTCCTGAACTCTCTCCAAAATGACCTAATGGGAACCCACATCCTGTGAGAACTCATTCTAAATCTTCCTATTAAGGCCCCCATGCATTCCCTGTGTGCATTCTCACAGACATGTGTGGATAAATGCAATTTTGTTCAATGATAGGGGTACTTTGGTGGTTTTTGACTAACGACATTTATGTATTTAATAAATAATTAAGCAAGTAGTTTCAGAGGATTTTTTAAAAATGAAAAATTTGCATTTACTCACAGGTTCAACTTGGTGAGGAATGTATCCAAATTGAGTATAGAATGGTATCTGTCAGATTTTTGAAAAATACATTAGATTTATCCTGGTGAGTTTTGTTAGAAGTTTGTGATAAATGATTACTTAAAACTATATATCTTTTTAAGTTAATTAAATACTTTTATAGAGTTCATGTTTCATTTGGTAAAACTTATCATTAAATTGCCAAGAATCCTTTTAGTACCATTTCATGAGTCACCCAAATTTACATTAAAATTCTAAAAATTTACTGCAGATTCACAAAACTCAGCACATTGGTATCTAGCTATATCTCGAGATCAAGTGATGAAAGGTATCTTTTATTAAGATATCTACTATTCTTTTCTTTTTAGTAATTTTAATAATAATCACATGCATATATGTATATATAAAGATTGATGCTGATAGATTTTGAATGTGAGAAAACTTCACATGCAGAAGTGATTCAGCTTTGGTCTCTGATCTCCTTTTACTAGCGTCCATTCACTAGCTTAATTCACTTAAAATCCAGACTTGGAACATTACCAAATGCTCCTAGACTTAGGAGAGAGCAATATTTCCTCTTATGTCTAACAGGTCAGGCTGTTGAGTATTTGCACTAAACATACTCAGTTATTTTTTTCTCTAGGAATTTGCCTTATTCTCTCTGCCCTCAGGTGGAACTAGTCAGATTAAAATAAAACCCTCATAGTACCTGCTCCTCAAATTGCTGCTGTCCTGTTTGTTGGGGTGGCTGTGTGACAGTTTGTTGACCTTGTTCCCAGGGCAGGAGCATGTAAACTGGGTAGTATTGAAATGTCTATTTGTAGACAGAGAAGTACACAAGAAGTTCTATTAGAAAACCATAGGTCAGACCTTTTTCTTCTAACATCAATATTATTTTAAAGCCCTTTTATAAATATTATTTTCACATTATTAAATACGAATAGAAGAATGGGTAAAGCAGCCCTTCTTGAACTTTAGAAAATAACTTGCATTTCACATTTTTAAGGTACTTGTTCAAACTTATATATAAATTAATAATGAACTTTATATATAAACTTCATATTAATTAATAAATGCCTAAAAGGAGGATAACCTATATTGGATATTCCCTATGCTTTTGAGAATCTTCCTTGTACAGGGCATGATATTAGAAGTTGTAGCATAATAAATGAAAAAAGACATTAATTATTCTTTAAGTTATTAAAAGAATCCATTTACATTTCAGAATATTGGGAAAATCCAGAAATAGATAAATAGCAAAATCATTACCACCCACATTATCATGTATTGGTTTCCCCTTATCTGTCTGTAAATATTTATATATGTGTGTCTGTAGAAGGTGAGGATCATATTGTATCTATATCTATATGTAAATACATATATATGTGTATATGTACATATAATTTTGAATACTGTTTTATTTATTCACCTCATTAAGTGTCTATATTAGACATGATATTTTTTAAAAAACAACTATTTTTCTGGAAGGAAAAATCAAAATCATCTGTTGAGCTTTTTAAAAGGTAGTCATATTTGTCATCTAATTGTGAGGTTGTAATTTACTAGACCTAGGGTAGGGTTCAGACATTTGTAATTTTCAAAATTACCACCAGAAATTCTGATGTATAGCCAGGGTGGAGAGCTACTGGCTTAGTGGTTAAAGAAAAGGTGGAGAATTTTATTGTAACTCAGCTATTTACTTCATTGGGATTAGGAATTTAATCTCATTAAGAAAACCAAGTTGTTTGCTCCTTAACATGAATCAATTATATTTGCCACATATCTAACTCTATAAATGATTATGGTATAGAATGAGATAATGTCTAGAAGTAAGTTTTGTTTTGTAATGGCAGTGTGGGTGAGATAAAATTACTTAACTACATAATTATAGAATAGCTAAGTGGTATTTTTATAAAAAATTTAACAGTCTGTTGGTGAATAATACAATCTATCTGTAGCCCTGTTTCTCCAAACCCAGGATATTGTAGAATTGATTATACTAACATTGATAAGGTTTTCTATGTTGATATAATGATCCTACTAGTTTACATTCATTTAAAAAATTCTCTTATTTATTGGAAATCATCACCATTTAATTATAATATGGAGTCAAACTGGATATTGCATACGAAAGACTAGAAATGCTTTCAATATAATATTATAACTGCCAAATAATGTGGGCAAGTGTTTCTTATCTCTACATCAAATCATATATTAACAGTTTAATGGGTGTAGGTTTTTATAACCCCATGATAGGAGAGCTAAAAATTATAAATGTATCACTTTTTGAAACAAAATTCAGGATTGTACAAAGTCAGCCCATGGTGTTTCTCGTGAGTTGTTTTCCAATGCCAACACTCAAGCTGCAGAGAGGACATGACCTGGGACTTAGTGAGCTCTTTACTTCCAGTATAGCAACGCCCTGAAACTCAGGGATTCTAGAGACTCTACTTAGCTGCCTATTTTTAAGGAGCTAAGTGAGCTAGCACAATATTAACAGACTGATGCTAGCCCAGCAATGGTGGCATCTAGATAGTGATGGGTGTTGTATGGATGTCGATAGCTATTGGAGAGCTAGGAGAATAAAAAGCAACACTGTGGAACATGGAAGTAGCCACCCGTTTCTATTAGCAGGATACTCTTTTCATTTACCTGTGTGTGTTCTTGAGGCATTTTGAGTGAAACTACATAGGGTAGCATCTGCCAAAAGAAAATCATGTAAGAATTTTATACTTGACTTTGTAAACTAAAATTTCTGAGCTGCTTTTCACAGAGCTAGCCATATAACATTATCATATGCATTAGTGGGCTAATACAACACAAGAGCATCTATTATATGAGCTATCATTAGCGTGAATTGTAGTTTTTAGATGAAATTTCTCTAATTAACTTGTCCAAAACTTGTTTTAACTCTTTTGGTTCTGTAGTAGATGACTGAATGGTACTTTTCATGTTAAAAATCAGAAAATAAACCGAAGTGCTTTTAGTGATGGTAGAAACATGAGAAAAAAATTCTTGAATATGACTCCTGTCTTATTTTGAAGCTAATTGATATTCATTTTTATATTCAATGTGCAGCTCTTTTCAAGACCACAAGATCGAAGAGACCTGACTTACGTGATTAGGACCCTGTTGAGTCCGCGGTGGTGTCTGAGGCTGTGAGGGGCCCAGCTGGCCAGTCTGGGCTCCCTGGGCAAAACCGACTTGTCTTGGGAAAGGTATCTGATTTGGGAACAGTTCAGCAAACCCATCTAGAGTTGACAATGGGAATTGGGGGTGTCCTGCAATTTGAGCCTGCTGTTGCTGTTGTAGAATGCCAGAGAAGGGAGGAATCCATGGATTAAATGGGCCCTGGGAGGATACAAATGAAAGAAGGGAGGTATTTCTTTTCATGATAAAAAAAGAATTTAAATGAGTCCTGAAGAAGAAAGAAATACGACCTAAACAATTTGTACATGTTCAGTGCTGCATTATAAAAAATGACATACTCTTGATTTTGAGCCACACAAAGAGTGCTAAATTCTTAACAGTCAAGAGAAATATGAGGCAGAATGAGGTTGATGTGCAGAACACAGTTTCTGCAGTTGCTAGACTGCTTTCGAATCTTGTTTTTGTCCCCATTGGGTGGTTGAATATGATTTTGTGTAAAACAGTTAATTTAGCTATCTCATAGTTGTGGGAAGTACTACCTAGTAAAATCAAGTTCTTAGAGCCTCTTGCTCCCACCTCCATCTTGTTAGAGGGTGTTCCTCTCTCCCTTGCTATTTCCTTCTGCTTTGCCCCTCCCTACTAAATAAATCCTTGCTAAGTTTAAAAAAAGTTCTTGAAAATAAGTGTTAACTAGATTCTATTTTTACATTTAATCTTCAAATAAATGGTCATGAGAATATATAAGGCAAACTTATAACAAAAAATTGAGATGTCAGAAATAGAATCAGGATACATTTTGTTATCACAAAATACCATAAGAAATGAGCAGTAGAAAAATGTTCTCCTTAATCTAATTATTTAAGTAGAGATACCTGAAACTGCAGTGGCAAAAGTTGACCATTATTAAGGTTCAGAAGTAACTAGAAAAGGAAATATTACATGAAAATAAGATTACTACGCATGCTAAAATGATTAAGCAATGTTTACTACAGAGACAGCATAAGTCAGAGCTGGTTGATTGATTTTCTGTTAGAAGTGAGCCATTTCCCCCCCTAAGTTTTATTAAATTATGGTAATTAGAGGTTAGAGTTAAAGCAGCTTGGGATTTAATCAGTCACCCACATTATGTATGAGATTGTACAATTTGAACCCATTCCAGTGGTTTAGTAATTTTATTCTTTTATACACCTATATTAGGTGCTATTAGAATAAAATATTCAGAAGACCTTGCTTCTCTTTGGAGAACTTACAATCAAATAAGGAGGTAGGGGTAAAATAAAATTTTAGAAGCTATTTGGTATGCATGGAAAACATAAAGCTTGGAATTACTTTGGATCTGCGTAAGAGCTAGTGAATAGGATACTAGCTAGATCAGGGAAGGCTTTTATCCCTTCCCACTGCGTTCTCAAATACAAAAAAATGGAGTTGATAGTTTTAATTATTTACACTAACCTCATGGCTGTTGCTGGCAGACATAAGGTGTTGTGGGATAAGCTAGGAAGAAAAAAAGAAAGAAACGGTGAAAGGGATTTTTACAGCTTTACATGATGCAATCAGTGTACCATGAAAACACTTACCGGGGCTGATAGTGTAGCTCCCAGGAGACCAAGAAGAATTAAAAATTTCATTTTCAGATGATATGCCTAGAAAATTAATTGCAATGCTTAGCTTTGAAAGAGCCTGTACTTAAAAAAAATCACTACAAAAATAAAGATATGACAAAATAATCAGAGAAGCAATTGAGTAAATACTTCAGCATTTACTTATATTTCAGGATTTAAAATAAAAAATTTATAAATCATTATAACAAAACACTTTCTTGTTTCTCAGAGTGGCTCTTTATAGAAACCAAAATTGTTTTTTTGGCCAAAATATTCATTTGGAGGGATATGATATCATTGAAAAGATTAGTGAACAAGATGGTCATCTTTTTACTGCTCTGTACTGGAGGGAATGTGTCCTGGGGACCATGGAAGGCCCATTACTGGGGTCAACTAACTGGGTCCTTATTATTAAAATTATTTTAATGTCTGCATTGAAAAAGCACTAAAATAAAGATCTAACAATAGCAGTCCAATACAAGACAATTTCCTTTAAAAATCAAATGATATTAATATATATTAAATGTAGCAACTAAGGCAATGTTTTTCTAATTTAGGGAAATGGATAATAAAGCAAAACTGTAATACCATGATTTATAGTGTACCCAATGATGTATATTATCTCTTGTCCCCTGGATGTAAAAGTTCCTGCCATATTTCAAATCAATGATGTTATTGCACATTTAGGATAACTCCTGCAGAGTATACCAATTTTGTTTCTTAAAATTATGAAAGCAAAGATTTGATATCTTACCTTATTCCTAGGTGTAAGAAATCTAGAACCATGAAAGATCTGTGTGCTTTTTTTCTCTCAGCTCTTGCTACTCAGAACATCTCTTAAAATTTAAAACCCATTCTTAGAAAAAAAAGGACCAATCATTTTTCAAAGTGATTCAGTGGGCTTCAGACAATGGCTTAGCTAATAATCCCTTTCCTAATCATCTGGGTGGTTTGGATTCCCACATTTTTGGTAATGTTATTATCATTGCATTACCTCTTGAGAAATGTTTTCCTGTGATCACTCCTGGCTTCTCCTTGGCTATGACTAACTCTTCTAGAATAATTTTAGTCTACTACTTTTGTGATCTTTAAAATGGATACCCTGAGTTACTGTAAAAAAACTTTATTAAATTCAAGGATAAATGAATGATCATTTTTATTCTTATATGACAGAAGTCATAGGCCTAAAAAACAAAAATTCAAAGCCTACTAAGTGGCAATGAAGATTCTTTAGTGCTTCAACACAAGGTTGAGTGTTTGATCTTGAAAACACCAGTAGATCTTCCTCTACCTGTTAAGAAACTCCTAAAAAGTTGCTAACTTTCTATATGAATGTGAAATGAATGTCCCTATGTGATCCTATTGCTTGGAATAAATATATATGAGGCACGATGGCCTATATTTTAAAAATAGTGGTAAATTAAGATTTTGTATATCAACTTTAACATTCACATTATTAGTAAGCATTACTGTCTGTATATCATCACTATTTAAATTTCCTTCTTAAATAGAGAATAGTATTTGTTTTGAGTTTTTGTTGTTTATATTGACTTGACTCTAGTAGACAATCCAGAATTATGATACATATTATTAATTAGTTTCCCTCTAAAGAGTTATTTAGCCATTGATCTAGAACAATTAATGGTAGCCTTATCATGTAGGTTGGAAAATGCAGCAAATTGATTGAGTGAGCTAGGTAGAAGGCTTTGTATTACCTAATGCTAGATATATATTTATAATTAATGACCTTGATTTATTTAGGATATTGTCAAATTTTTAAGTAAGTTCTCAGTTTTATCAAATTTTTATTGCATTCTATTGTGTTACAGGCAGCTAACTCCATTATCAAGCCAGAAAGTTTTCAGAACTTAACACTGAATATATCAGAAACTGTGTTACACAGCCAAAACATAATCAGTTTAACTATTATTCTAACAATTAATAGTTTCATCTAGCTATATTAATGAAATCTTAAGTTAATTGGGAGACTTCTATGATTTTCTTTTTTTAATTTTCCACTATTTGAATATATTAAATAAAAGCAGTTGAAAATCCGTTTATACAACAGTTGAAATGGAAAAGAACAGACTATGCTTTAGTATTTGATAGCTTCCAAAAGACTATTTCATTTGAGATAAAGTTATATTTGGGTAGGAGAGGAAATAGCAAGGAGCACTTGTTTAATTCTCATCACATTGTAGTATGGTTATTACATATGTTTGTTTCTTTCATTCAACTCTGTGGAATGTACTCATTTTTCTATCCTTGCATCAATTACCTACTAGACTTCATTGAGTTTTGTTAAACAAATTGTTTACTTCATTCAGAGGATGGAAAAAAGTTAGAGCAGATCCAGAATTATGTCATTTTATATGGATTAAGGTGTAGAGACACAAAATGAGGAAATCCTGGACCAGAGACTGTCACTATAACTCCATTATTTTGTTTTAGTTCAATTACCAGAATTAGATAAATTTTCATTCAAATAAAAGTGCAAAAACATATTTCAATGCCAGGCGCATATAGTTGTTGAATTATAAACCAGTAAAATTATTCATATTTGTGCTCTGTTCCAATAACATAAATGATGAAGAGTAAACAACAATGGCTTTTGCTAGCCCTCTCAAAATGTTACCTTTGCTTTTTTCCCTTCAACTATCCTGACAAATCAATCAATAAGCCTAGAGAGCACCATTGTGAAGTAGACCATATTCTGTGGATCATAAAAATTGAGTTGGAATTTCAATACTCCTTATAATAAGAATCATTTCCTTGAATATGAACTATAATTGCTAGGAACTTCTAATGACATATCAATGTAGACAAGGTCCATATATCACCTCCATTTCAAAGAGAAAGCTGAAGTACAAAACGTTCAGTGACTTCATTAATTTATTTATTCATGTAAGAAATAGTTATCGTGCAGCTTCTACAGATCAATGCTAGTTATTGAAAACTTGGTGTCAGTTCCAGTCTTCAAAGAAATTAGTTTGTCCACTGTCAAAAAGGATCAGAATTGTGGCTAGAATTCAGGTCTTTTGATCCTTAATCAAGTAGTCTATCCAAGGCAAATAGATTTTTTTATGTGTTTTTTGGCCATTTGAATTTCTTCTTTTGAAAAAGTTCTGTTTAGTTCAGTTGCCCATTTCTTTATTGGTTCATAGATTTTGCGAGAGTTTCGTTTTTTGAGCTCCCTGTATATTCTAGTTATCAGTTCTTTATCTGATGTATAGCTGGCAAATGTTTTCTCCCAGTTGGTCTCTTCAGTTTAGAGAGCATTTCTTTTGTTGTGCAGAAGCTTTTTAATTTTATGTAGTCCCATTTGTCCATTCTTTCTCTTAGTTGCTGAGCTGCTGGGGTTCTATTGAGGAAGTCCTTGCCTATATCTATTGCTTCAAGAGTATTCCCTGCTCTTTCCTGTACTAACTTCAGAGTTTCAGGTCTGATATTAAGGTCCTTGATCCATTTTGAGTTGATACTAATACAGGGTGATAAACATGGATCTAGTTTTAGTTTTTTGCAGGCAGATATATGGTTAACTTCTATGAGACTTTTCTAAATTATCCTTTTCTGTTTGATATATGCAAACTGAACACATTAATCATCAAATGATATGATATATTAGAAGAGATTCTATCTTAATGGCTTTATCTTTATTATATGAGTCTAATTTTATTCTAGTTAAAATTTGTAGTTATGTGCATGAAAATTATGACTTAAAAGTGTAATTTCTAGGGGTGTTTAGCAATAAGGATGATAGGAAAAATAACACAATGTACTTTTTTACAAAAGGGTCCATGAGTGTCAGAATAGTTGAAAGAGGCTAGCACTGCTTGTGCATCCCTGAACAATGACAAGTAGGACATTTAATGGGAGGCATGTCCTTTCAACATTTGCCCATCCTGGCCTGGGCATAAATCAATTCTACCTTCTCTGAAAAGTACTTCTTTCATCCCCTGGACTTAAATGATTTCTTTCTCTACTAAACCTCCATAGTATTTATTTTATGTCTTTTGTTTTATGGTTACAGACCTGCCATTTTAATGACACCTGCATGTTTTTTTTTTTGGGCCCATAATCAGTTTGGTCTCAATCCAGTTTCTGTATTAATAAAAATCCAGAAAAACAAAATAAAACTATAGAAACTTAATTTCAAACAGAATTGTATTGTTTTAATAATTCAAATTTAAGATTGGAAGTACACACATTTGGCCAATTTCTAGCATTCTTCTTCCCATCAGACATCCAGATACATCCATGCTGTGGTCAAAGAATGTTCTTGAGAAGGTCTCAGTCAAGTGGAGAATGACCTCTGTACCCATTTGCCTCAGTTCTCCTTCAGAATTCTGAAGATTTTGATCCATTTTGTTACATTACAAATTTATCTCCTTAACAAGATGCTATGTCTTCAGATAGCAATGGCATTTTTTGCTATTGCTAAAATAAAATTTGCCATCTTGTCTTTCGCTTTTTCCCCCACCTATCTCTTTCCCTCCTTCCATTTACTCTTCTTCCTCCTTCACCCCCCCACTCTTTTTCTTCCTTTATTTTCTTGTCCATTTATTTTCCTCTCTGTCCTAACTTGATTTACAAGGCCCCCAATAATCTGGCTCTGGCTTTATCCTCCCACTTTTCTTCTTCTCACTTCTCTCCTTGTTTACTTCCTTCAACCACATTAGTTTTCTTTTTGAGTTTGAAGATGTTGAATTTATTGCTGCTGTAAGGACTTTTCACTTGCTGCTCCCTATGCCTGGAATGGTCTCTCTCCGTTATGTAGGGACTGGCATCATCATGTCATTTGGGTAATATTTTAGGTATCACCCCACAAAAGACATTTCCCAGATTACCAACTCTAAAGTAGCCACCTCCATCATGTTACCCCACTTTAATTCTCTGCAAAGCATGTGCCACTGATTTACTAATTTTTTAAAAAATATTTTTGTATATTACTTTATTTATGTAGATATATGGCTTATAGTTGAATTCTTTTTTTTTATTATTAATATGTTCATACAATGCTTGGGTCA